AAGGTGTGTCGCGTACCAAAACCAGGTCACTACCTTTATTTGACCTTGACCTTGACCTTGGTCATATTTCCCTTCCACTCTATAACTCTGCCCCTAATTGACCTAGCGCTACCAAACTTGCTATACTTACACATCTTGGGGAGAATGTGTGTCACGTACCAAAACCAGGTCGCGACCTTTATTTGACCTTTACCTTGACCTTGCTCATATTTCCCTTCCGCTCTATAACTCGGCCCTTAATTGACCTAGTGCTACCAAACCCAGGTCACTACGACCTTTATTACCATTTACCTTGACCTTGATCATATTTCCCTTCCACTCTATAACTCGGTCCCTAATTGACCTAGCGCTACCAAACTTGCTATACTTACACATCTTGGGGAGAATGTGTGTCGCGTACCGAAACCAGGTCACTGCGACCTTTATTTGACCTTTACCTTGACCTTGATCATATCTCCCTTCCGCTCTCTAACTCAGGCCCCTAATTGACCTAGCGCTACCAAACTTGGTATACTTACACATCTTGGAAAGGTGGTGAGCAGCGTACCAAAACCAGGTCATCGCGACCTTTATTTGACCTTTACCAAGGGAAATATGATCAAGGTCAAAGGTCAATTAGGGGCCCGAGTTATAGAGCGGAAGGGAAATATGATCAAGGTCAAGGTCAAGGTCAAATAAAAGCTGCAGTGACCTGGTTTTGGTACGTGACACACATTCTCCCCAAGATGTGTAAGTATAGCAAGTTTGATAGCGCTAGATCAATTAGGGGCCAAGTTATAGAGCAGGGCGCGACCAAACTTGGTATACTTACACATCTTGGGGAGAAGGTGTGTCGCGTACCGAAACCAGGTCACTGCAACCTTTATTTGACATTGACCTGGACCTTGACCTTCATCATATTTCCTTTCCGCTCTATAACTCGGCCCCTAATTGACCTAGCGTGACCAAACTTTGTATACTTACACATCTTGGGGAGAACACGGGGGATACATGTAGTTGGCGGCAACTGCCCTTTCTAGTTTATTATTTATATATTTATTTATTTATTTAAAGACGGTACATTTGTAACAGATATGTCAACATGAGCTTGCAAGCTCTTCACCGTCAAAACCTGTTATGCCCTTGAGCAAGACACTTTATACCAAGTTGCTTCGGTCAACATTTCATTTCAGCTGAAAAAAACAAAGAAGCATTACAGCAACAGGGAAGTGGGCTCAAAGCACAGCAGAAAATTACATCTATTTTAACGAGAATATATTGTAAAGGATGTCAAGGTGGTACGTCAACAGCAGAAAACATTTCGATTCACAGATAATTTTGGGCATAGGAGACTCCATTTTGCAGTAGTTTTACGGAAAAGATGGGAAGGTAGAATTTAATAGGTCTACAGCAACATCTCTTGTTTGGAAATAGCTTCAAGGAAGTGCGAAGAAGGTAGAATGGATAAAGGCTACAGCAACAACAATACTTTGTTTTGCAATAGTTTCAGGGCAATGAGAGGAAGGAACAATACAGAAGAGCAACATTACTTCTCCATCATGTGATAATTTCAGGGGAAGGTGAAGAAGGAATAAAGCAGAAACAAAGCAACAATTAGCAAAAGTAACAATTTTAATAGGAGTGGGCTATACAGAGGCCAAAATAAATTTTTTTATTATTTTCATTAGGGCTGAGTTTTTGTGTGTTCTATTTTACCTATCTCAACATGAAATGACAAAATTCTCGGCCTGGGGTCCAAGAAAAATATGTGCAGAGCCTTCTTCTGTCATCATACCTTATTTTTAAGGAGTTTCTCTCATATCTCAGGTTCTGCTTTGAGTAGAGACTTCGTCTAAAAAGTTATTCTGGGGTTATTTAGAACACATTAAAGGAACAGTAGCCTCTAGGTTCTAGGGTTATTTTCAGCTAATTTAGGTTATAATTGCGCTACATAAAAAGTTTCATGGTTCAATCACCATTAGAAATATTTTTTTTAAATGTTTTAAAACTAACGACTAAATTCGTGACGTAGTCCCTAACTACCCCTATACTGATTGCTAGCAGTCTAATACAGCAGTTGCGTACGTGCGTGGTCGCAGGCAGCAGCGGCTAGCTAGCAGTTGGACATCAGTACTGTGTTGTATATATGGTAGTAACAAGCTGGAGCCTGGTGATGTGTTAGCGTAGGATGGGCATGTATTGATCTGTGCGGTCACGTGACTTCAATGCTCCGTTCCGTCTGCTACATACATAGTGTGTATGCTATATACGCTCTAGTAGCATTTGCTATTCGTCGCTGCTCTCGCGTTCAGTCCGGCAGTATTCTAGCTGATTCTGTGTGGGTGCTTGTGCCATCGTACGGTATCACAGGTTACCTCGCGTTCTGTGCTTGATATTCGGCTACGTCGTCTCTTCGTTTTCTGTAAGTACATTGGGTGTAAGTGTTTGTCGTAGGCGTTGTTTCCGTGCCTCGGTGCAAATCTATTCCAGATAGGCAGATATAGAGGGGTGCTGGATGTTGGTGAAGCCTCCTCCATATGGCGGAGTGAAACACTGTTTTTGGGTGGTTCTGTTCACAGTAGGAGTGGACGACCGACTACTACAATATGCTGTTAGATATATTAGTTTGCGTAGTAGACAAATATAGGTGTGTTGAGTCGGCATTGCAGTGTGCAATCGTAAAAAGATACGATAGTTTTAGGGGATAGTTGTTGGTGAGTAGCTGTGTGTAGTGTGCATTCTTGTGTGCACTTCATGTACATGTACCGGTAAAGTGGGCAGTTTATCGATTTACCCACATATCTGACTTATTCGAGTAACCAATTTTCATCAAAGTTCTTCATTAGCTGTAATATATTGACCAGAAATAACCAATCTTATCTCATTCTTTTTGAACCATATAGTAACATATGGAGTTGACTCTGATTGGCTTTAATCATTTAATCATCGCTAACACTAATTTGCATTAATTGCCAATATGCTCTCCTTGATGTGCCTCCTTGATGTGCCTTCTTGATGTGCTCTCCTTGATCTCCTGATTGCCAGTGTGCTCTCCTCCACAAGGGCCACATATAAGTTTTCTTATCATAGAGTACCCATGATAGTCGAATGCAATTGGAGGAATTTTCCATTCGGCATTCTCTACTTGTGCATAAGGTTTTTGAGCGTTAGGCCAAAACAAAATATAGGTGTGGTTACAGTTTCCCGACCGACCCTAAACATTTTAATTGTCAATTTTCTTTAAAGTAAAATATTTCAAGAAAATAAAATGTTTTCCCTACCTACCTACCCTATTTTTCTCCGGCTTGTAACGGTAACCACACATATATTTTGTTTTGGCCTTACACACGAGGAGAACCAGGGTTTCTTCTACATAGGAGGCACTGCGGCACACCACCGTTGTCAAATTTAACAACGCCGTTGTGAAAATGTTCCTGTATTTACCCGCCGTTGTCAAAGTAGTGTCAATCCAAAAATAAATAGATCACCATGCGCTTCTGACTATATATACATGGAAAATCGTAATGAAAATTCACAGCAACGTTTCTTTTTGCGTGCCGGCACACTCCTGTGTCATCCCCGATTGCAGCTTTTTCCTCGATTCCGGGAACGTTTTGGTGTCGCTCCCTCATACCAGCGGTGCCCACCCCTACATATACAGCAATAAGCATGCCCATACGACTGTAACATTCAGTGCATTCGCCCCCCCCCGTACTTCCATCACTGCCGCCGTGAGCCGCAAGCCGAGCCAGAACGTGGGTAACGGTGTCGGCGGACTCGGCGGTGCTGCTTTTCGTTCTTCTTTTTTTCTTTGCTGCGTGAATGCGTGGAATGCCGTGTGGGCATGCGGGAGATGTGGTCCAGATGCGTGAGTACTCCTATTCGCGAATGCGGCAGCGGAGACTTTGTGGGTCTGCTAAAGGTAAGATTTAACTAAGGTGAAAATTTTATTTCGGGGTGGCTTCAATCTAGTCTATAGACTTCACATTTTTAAAATTTTGCTGGGGAGATCCCGGCAGAACCCCCCTCTACTCTCTCTGCCCCCACGTCTGCTGCAGAATCCACATTCGTGCTACTCATGCTTTGAATCCTAGTGCGTTTTCCCAAAATGGCCGTTACCCGGCATTGGTTTTAATTTTTCCTCAGAAGTAACCCTGAGAACGACATGTAACGACATGCGTATGTGCAGCATAATGCTGTAAAGCAATATGGAAGGGACTGAGGGTCCGTCCACATTGGGGGTCACTGCTGTTATGTGTAATCCCCCCTGCGAGCAAGTCGGCGACAATGACAAGTATGGTTCATTAGGTCTCCCGGCAGCCGCCGCGCCGTCAGACAATATACTCGACCGCCAAGGACCTAGCGGCTACCGAAACGTTGTAGTACTGACACATGCTTGGGGAGAAGTGAGCAGCGATACGCAAAACAGCGTCACGCGACCTGTTATTTGACTTTAGCTTGACCTTGATAAATATTGTCTCTTCAGCTCTATAATCGGCCCTCAAATTGACCTAACCTAGCCTAGAACTTGGGTATACTTACACATATTGGGGAGAAGGTGAGGTATCGTACACAAAACAGTCACTGTGACTTTATTTGACTTCGCGACTTGATCATATTCTCTCAGCTCTCTAACTCGCCCCTATTGACGTAGCGCTACCGAAACTTGGCTATGTTACACATCTTGGGAGTAATGTGTGTGCCGCGTACCAAACCGAGGTCACTGAGGCTTTATTTGACCATTTGACCTTGACCTTGGATTCATATTTCCCTCCGCCGTCTATAATCAGACGGCCGCCTAATTGACCTGGCGCGACCAATGGTATAACTTAAATCTTGGGGAGAATAGGTGTGTCGCGCTACCGAAACCAGTCACTGGCAGCTTTATTGACATTGACGCTTGACCTTGGACCTTCATCATATTCCTGCCGCTCTCATAACTACGGCCCTATATGACTAGCGTGACCAAACTGTGTATACTTACACGATCTTGGGAGAACGGGGGAAACAGTGTACGTTGGCGGCAACTGCCCTTTCTAGTTTATAATTATTTTATTATTTATTAGTTTATTTAAAGATCGGTACATTGATACAGATATGTTCACATGAGCTTGCATAGCTCTTGCACCGTCAGAAACCTGTTATGCTTGAGCAGGACACTTTATACCAGTTGCTTCGGTCAACATTTATTTCAGCTGAAAAAACAAAGAGCATTACCAGCAACAGCGGAAGTGGGCCCAAAGCACAGGAAGGAAAATTAGCATCATATTTAACTGAGGAATTTATGCAAAGCGATAGTCAAGGTGGTACGTCAACAGCAAAAACATTTCGATTCACAGATAATTTTGGCCATAGGAGACTCTCATTTGTAAGTAGTTTTGGCGGAAAAGCTGAGAGGTAGAATTAATAGGTCAGCACAACATCTCTTGTTGTGAAATACTTCAAGGAAGCTGCGGAAGAAGGTAGAATGATAGAAGGCTAGCAGCAACAATCAATACTTTGGTTTGCATAGTTTCAGGGGCAATGAGATGAAGGAAGAATACAGAGAGCTTCATTTAACGTTGAATTACGTTTCCATCATGTGATAATTTCAGGGGAAGGTGAAGAAGGAATAAGCAGAAACACAAGACACAATTAGCAAAAGTTAACAATTTTAATAGGCGTGTGCTATACAGAGGCAAATGAATTTTGGTTTATTATTTTCATTAGGCCTGAGTTTTGTAGTGTGTTCTATTTTAGCCTATCTCAAACATGAACATGCAAATTCTCGGCCTGCGGGTCAAGAAAAAGTGTGCAGTAGCCTTATCAGGTGCCAGGTGGTCAACTGCCGAAATTATGATCTCCAGTACCAGCGCGCATCAGGCTGATCCAGCGCGAAGGTTCCGTCCCCATTATCATCACAATGTAACAAACGCTAATATACATCTTGTTGTTGGTGGGCGTGGGGGATCAAAATGATTGGCGTGGGCTGCAGCACAGATTCTCCTGGGTGAGAGATCGCCCACTGCTCGCTTAACAGTGGTATTGGCTCCTGCAGTGTTTCCATTATCTCGCTCCTTACACGGAAACACCACCGCCTCCTCTGCTTGGTAGTCATCCTCGAGGATCACAGTTAGGTTTTCGATCATCTCATTCTCAGACAGTCTGTTGACCTTGTAAAGGTCCCTGCAGATATCGGAATCACGTTGATGTGTGACTCATTGGTATTGGATCTCTTGCCTCAAGAAGGTCTTTAGCTCAGGTGGTTTCTTACTGACAAGCGCCTTCAGTTCTTTGACAGATGTAACATGTCCTCCGTGTTCTTTACATTTCACAAGAAGTTGGTCAACAATATCATTGGCCCTCACTTTCTTTTGCAGGTTCTCTCTGAACCTTTGTTTCGTCTTCTGTTTCTGTTTGTTGCCCCACGTCACCTCCATGGCATCATGCTTGCACTGCAGTTCTACTCCTCTCGCGGCCTGGAGACACATCTCTCCCCGAAGAAGGTGATTGAGATCGCGTTGTGGAGCATTGTCCCGCATTTTCACATGTGTTCACTCTACGTGATATTCTGTAAGGGTGTCTGTCTTTTTATCAGCAAGGTCACTGTAGAGCTTGGGAAGGATGTTAACCAGCAAATCCTGGCTTGCTCTTTCGACGCAGTTGAGGAAGGGCATTGTCACCCTGTACGTAAAATTAGCAAGTGCTTTGAATCCTGCTATTATGAAATCGTTCTCAAGGTAAATCTTACATGCTCGAACAAGAAGATTATTTAGCGGTGTCTGCAAAAGTAGTTGTTTGAGGTAAGGAATGCAATCATAGACCGCTCCTGCCTGGTATCCGAATCTATTAAAACGTTTCTCTTTGTAGAGGCTAAACGACTAGTGTACCACTGCCTCCTCTAGAATTAAGTCAAACTGTTCTACTGGTGATGTTGTCTTCCCATCTCCCTCATGTGATACGAGCTTTAGAAGAGCAGTTACAACAACAGATTTATCATTTACTTTGCCGAAGAAATGACTTCAACACTGGCTCTCTCTCTCTGCACAATCAGTTTGCGAAGGCCAATCTTGTCCTCAATGGCAGCCATGGTTGTGAGGTTGTCTGCATCAATCCATTCACATGTATGAAATTTACAAAGCAAGTGGTATAGCACATGCTTTGAGCCAAGTTGTTCTGCAACACCTGTCTCTATCTTGAGATTTTTGCTCACAGCATCTGTCATCAGAGCATCAATCTGCTCCCAGGGATGTACAACAGTCCAGCTAGGGTCATTGGCAGCTATCTGCAGTCTCTTCAGGGTCTCAACAATAAGTGCCACTATCTAGTCCCTCTCTTCAAAAGCCAAGAAGAGAGGACGTAGAGAGATCGCGGCGGATCCGCAGCAACCTTTTTAGTTTCCTATGGGAATTATGTGGTTACATTTGACCCCAAAATATATTTCTTGACCAATATTTGTGCTTTTATGATTTTCTAATTATGTTTATGACTTTATGTGTCCTAAATAACCCCAGAATAACATTTTATATGAAGTCTCTACCTAAAGCAGAACCTGAGATATGAAATAAACTCCACTCCCGCCACAAAAACAAGGTATGGAAACACAAGAAGGCACTTCACACTTTTTTCTTGGACCCCAGGCCAAAAATTTTGTCATTTCATGTTGAGATAGGTAAAATGGAACACACAAAAACTCAGCCCTAAGCAAAACAAAAAATGACCCATGTATAGCCCACTCCTAATTTTATAGAAAGGAGAAGAAGATATAATGGAGATATGCTACAGCAAAACAGAGCCCGTCTCACGCTGATGAATCACGTCCCCACTTTTCGTCAAATTTCAGAGAAAGGAGAAGAAGGTAAGATGGAGAAGGGCTACAGCAATATGGAGGGCGGCTCCGGGACGTCGGAGCAGGTTGTCGACGCGATCCAGTATTTCACGGGATGCCTGGGCATGTCGCAGGCGCTCGGCGTGCTCACGATCATCCTGACGCTCGTGTGGACGTGCTACTACCGCGGCGGCTTCGCGTGGCACGACGACGTCGCCCACGAGTTCAACTACCACCCGCTGTTCATGATCCTCGGCCTCGTCTTCTTCTACGCCGAAGGTGAGTTTGCGCGTGCGGGGAGGGTGGGGTAGGGACGCAGGGAGACGGAGACGGTGGGAGGTGGGAAGGAAGGTGGGGAGAGAGGGGAGGAAGGGGTGGGGGGAGAGGGCGAAGCAACGGGCGTTAGGTGGGGAGAGAGGGGCAGCAAGGGTCTTTCGGTGGTGTGGGACGAGAGGGGAGCAACGGCGGTTGGGTGTAGGATGAGAGGGGTGGGTGGGGATAGAGGAGCAAGGGGTGGGGTGGTGAGAGCAGCCGGGAGCAAGCGGTATGGCGGGAGAGGGAGCAAGCGGTATGCGCGTGGGATGAGAGAGGCGACAAGGGGTGCGGGGGAGAGCGGGAGCAGCGGGATGGGTGCGGAAGAGAGGCCGGAGCAAGGAGTGGGTGAGAGAGGGCGAGCAAGGTGTGGGTCGGGGGAGAGAGGGGTGTGGCGGATAGAGGGGAGCAAGGGTGGGTTTGTCGTGAGAGAGGGGAGGCAAGCGGATGGGGGGACAGAGGGGAGCCAAGGGATGGGTGAGGGGAGAGAGGGCCTGAGCAAGGGGTGGGGAGGAGGGGAGCAAGGGATGGGTGGGGAGAGAGGGGAGCAAGGACGTGCGGTGGGGAGAGAGGGGAGCAAGGTTGTGGGGTGGGGAGAGAGGGGCAGCATTGCAAAGGTGTGCGGTGGGGAGAGAGGGAAGCAAGGGATTGGGTGCGGGACGAGAAGGGGAGCAAGGGTGGGTGGGTAGGAGAGAGGGATGCAAGCGGATGTGGGGAGAGAGGGGCGAGCAAGGGGATGGGTAGGGAGAGAGGGGCGAGCCAAGGGTGTGTGGGCTGGGAGAGAGGGCGAGCAAGTCGGTGTGGTGGGGAGAGAGTGTGGAGCAAGCGGCCCGTGGGTGGGGAGAAGGGGAGCAAGGTCGTGGCGTGGGGAGAGAGCGTGGGGTGGGCGGAAAGAGGGGAGCAAGGTCTTCGTGCGGTGGGAGAGAGGGAGCAAGGCTTGTGGGTGGGAGAGAGGGGTGGTTGGGGGGAGAGAGGGGAGAAAGGGATGGCGTTGGGGAGAGAGGGCGAACAAGGGGTGGGTGGGGATGAGAGGGGGAGCAAGGGTGTGGGTGGGGAGAGAGGGAACAACGGTGGTGGCGTGGCGAGACAGCAGAGGGCGAACAAGGGCGTGGGTGGGGAGGATGCGGAGCAAGGGTGGGTGGGGAGAGAGGGGAGCAAGGGTGGGGTGGGGAGAGAGGAGAGCAAGCCGGGTGGGTGGAGGAGAGTAGGGAACAAGGCGTGGGGTGGGGAGAGGAGCGCGCGAGCAAGTGGGCTGGGTGCAGGTCGAGAGAACCGGGGCCAGGCAAGGTATGGGTGACGCTGGTGAGAGGGGGGCAAGGCGTGGGTGGGAGAGAGAGCGGCCGAGCAAGGTGTAGGGGCGGAGAGAGGGGAGCAAGGGGGGGGGAGAGACGGGGAGCAAGGGATGGGTGGGAAGAGAGGGTGGTGGGGAGAGAGGGAGCAAGGGGTGGGTGCGGGAAGAGCGGAGCAATGGAGTGGGTGGGGAGAGAGGGTCCGAGCAAGCGGCTGTGGGTGGAGAGAGGGGGTGGGTGGGTGAGAGAGGGGAGCAAGGGGTGGTTGGGGAGAGAGCGTCGAGAAAGGGATGGAATGGCGTCGAGAGAGCGCGGAACAAGGGGCGTGAGGTGGGAGAAGCGGGAGCAAGGGTTTGTGGGTGGGGAGAGAGGGAACAAGGTGTGGGTGCGCGAGAGAGCGCGGTGGTTGGTCTTCCGATGAGCAGGGTGAGAAAGGGATGGTGCCGGGAGGAGAGCAGGGGAACAAGGGTGGGTGGGGGGAGAGAGGCGGAACAAGAGCGTGGGGTGGTGGAGAGAGGGGAACAAGGGGTGGGTTGGGGAGAGAGGGTCTGTGGTTGGGCGAGAGAGGGGAACAAGGGGTGGGTGGGGAGAGAGTCGGGAACAAGCCACGTGTGGGTGGGGAGAGAGGGGAGCAGAGGGTGTGGGTGGGGAGAGCAGGAGAGCAAGGGGCGTGCGGGGTGGGGAGGAGTTACGGGAACAAGGTGGGGTGGGGAGAGAGGGGTGGTTGGGGAGAGAGGGGAGCAAGGGGGTGGGTGGGGACGAGAGCGGGGAACAAGGGATGGGTGGGGAGAGAGGGGAACAAGGGGGTGTGGGTGGGCGAGAGAGCAGGGAACAAGGCTGTGTGGTGGGAGAGAGCGGCGAGCAAGGGATGGGTGGGGAGAGAGGGGAACAAGGGATGGGTGGGGAGAGAGAGGAGCAAGGGGTGGGTGGGGAGAGGGATAGAGAGAGGAGGGCATAGAGCGAGATTAAAGAGGGAGGAGCGGACAGAAAGAGAAGAGACGGGAGGAAGGAGAGAGGAAGTCAATATAATTGTTATATCACGGACATATGAGTTAGCCTAGAGTGCTTTTTATCGTTGCCTTGCAGTTATCCTCGTTCTTACAGGGTGTTCCGTACGTGTACGAAGCTCTACGGTGAAGCGTTGTGGTGTTTATCTCGTGCCCAGCCCAGTTTATTACCGCGGCTGCATCGTGCCTTGCAGCTATCTCGTCTACAGGCGTGCTTCCGTAACGTGACGAAGCTCTACGTGTAAGGTTGTTTAATCTGCTGAGCAGTTATTTACCGCCCCGGCTGGCTATCGTTGCCTTGCCCAGCTATTCCTCGTCTAACAGGGTGTTCCGCTAACGTGACGAAGCTCTACTGTGAAGCGTATGTTACCTGTGGAGCAGTTATTACGCGGCTGTCATCGTTGCCTTGACAGCTATCCTTCGTCACAGGGTTGCTTCCGCCTAACGTGATGAAGCTCTACGTGAAGAGTTGTTTATCTCTGCAGCAGTTAGTTACCGCGGCTGCATCGTTGCCTTGCTAGCTATCCTCGTCTACAGGGTGTTCCGTAACGTGACGAAGCTCTACGTGAAGGTTGTACTGTGAGCCAGTTATTTACCGCGGCTGCATCGTTGCCTTGCGCTACTCCTCAGTCTACAGGGTGTTCCGTATTGTGAACGAGCTCTACGGGAAGGTTGTTTATCCTGTGGAGCAGTAAGGGGTGGGTGGGCGAGCAGAGGGCAGCAACGGGAAGGGTGGGGAGAGAGGGGAGCAAGGGATGGGGGGGAGAGAGGGGCAGCAAGCGGGTGGGTGGGGGAGAGAGGGAGCAAGGGGGTGGGTTGGGGAGAGAGGGAGCAAGGCATGGGTGTGGGGAGAGTGGCGGTGAGCAAGGGCCGTGGCGTGGGTGAGAGAGGGAGCAAGGGCGTGGGGTGGGGAGAGAGGGGAGCAAGGCTGTGGGTGGGGAGAGAGGGGAGCAAAGGGTGGGTGCGGAAGAGCAGGGAGCGAGGGATGGGTGGCGGAGAGAGGAGTAAGGGGTGGGTGGGCGGGAGAGAGGGAGCAAGGGATGGGTGGGAGAGAGGGGAGCAAGCCGGCTTCCGTGGCCGTGCGGGAGCAGCAGGGCGGGCAAGGTGTAGGTGGAGAGAGCGGGAGCAAGGGGCGGGGCGGAGAGAGGGCGAGCAGCGCATGGGTGGGGGAGAGGAGTGGAGTGGGGGAGAGAGGGCGAAGCAAGGGCCTCTCGTGGCGGTGGCGGAAAGCGAAGTGGGAGCAAGGGTATGTGGGTGGGGCCCATAGGAGGGCGAGCATAGGGTGTGGGTTGGACGAGAGACGGTGGAGTGAGGCGAGAGAGGCGAGCAAGTGGTGGTTGGGGAGGCAGAGGCGGAGAAAGGGATGGATGGGGAGAGAGGGGGAGACAAGGGTGGGTGCGTGGAGAGAGCGGTCGAGCAAGGGCGTGGGTGGGGGAGCAGAGGGGAACAAGGGCTCGTGGGTGGGGAGAGGGAGGGGTGCGTTGGGAGAGAGGGCTGAGAAAGGTCCATGGCCGTGGGTGTGGGGAGAGAGGGAACAAGGTGTGGGTGGGAGAGAGGGGAACAAGGGGTGGGTGGTCGCGAGAGAGGGACAAGCGGCGTGGGTGGGGAGAGAGGGGAACAAGGGGTGGGTGCTGTGGAGAGAGGGAGCAAGGGATGGCGTAGGCGTGAGAGTGGCGGGCAACCAAGGGATGCGGTGGGCGCGAGAGAGAGCGAGCAAGGGACCGTGGGTGGGCAGGAGGGATTAGAGAGCAGGAGCGGCCATAGAGCGAAGATTAAAGAGCGGAGAAGCGGACAGAAATGAGAAGAGACGGCAGAGCGAGGAGAGGAAGTCAATATAATTGTTATATCACGGACATATGAGTTAGCCTAGAGTGCTTTTTATCGTTGCCTTGCAGTTATCCTCGTCTACAGGGTGTTCCGTAACGTGACGAAGCTCTACGTGAAGGTTGCTTTATCTGTGGAGCAGTTATTACCGCCGCCTGCATCGTTTGCCTTGCCCAGCTATATCCTCGTCTACAGCGGTGTGTCCGTAACGTGCCACGAAAGTTCTCTACGTGAAGCGTTGCTTTATCTGTGAGCAGTTATTATCCGCGGCTGGCATCGGTTGCCTTGCAGCTATCTCGTCTACAGGGTGTGCCGTAACGTGAACGAAGCTCTTTACGTGAAGGTTGTTTACCTCGTTTTGAGCAGTTATTACCGCGCTGCCCATCGTTGCCTTGCCAGCTAATCCTCGTCTACAGGGGTTTCCGTAACGTGATGAAGCTCTACGTGAAGGTTGTTATCTTTCTGAGCAGTTATTACCGCGGCTGCATCGTTGCCTTTGCAGCTTCCTCGTCTACAGGGTGTTCGCCGCTAACGTGACGAAGCTCTACCGTGAAGGTTGTTTACCTCGTGAGCAGTTCGTGAATTACCGCAGCTTGCCATCGTTGCTTGCAGCTATCCTCGTCTACAGGGTTGTTGCCGTAACTGTGACGAAGCTCTACGGGCAAGGTTGCTTTATCTCGTGAGCAGTAAGGGGTGGGTGCGGTGAGAGAGGGGAGCATAGGGCATGGCTGGGGATGACGGAGTGGAGCAAGGGGGATGGGTGGGGAGAGAGGGGAGCAAGGGGTGGGTGGGGAGAGAGGGGAGCAAGGGGTGGGTGGCGCGGCAGAGGGGAGCAAGGGATGGGCTGGGGGAGAGCAGGGGAAGCAAGGGTGGGTGGGGAGAGAGGGGAGCAAGGGCACCTTGTGGGTGGGGAGAGAGGGGAGCAAGGGCTTGTGGGTGGGGGAGACGAGGCGAGCAAAGCGTGTGAGGTGGGAGAGAGGGGAGCGAGGGAAATGGGTGGAGAGAGGGGAGTAAGGGTGGAGGGGAGAGAGAGGGATGGAGTGGGCAGAGAGGGTGAGCAAGCCGGGTGTGGGTGGTCGAGAGAGGGGCGAGAAAGGGTGTGGTGGGGAAAAGAGGGGGAGCAAGCGGGTGGGTGGGGAGAGAGGCGGAGAGCAAGGGAGTGGGGTGGGTGAGAGAGGGGTGGGTGGGCGAGCAGAGGGGAGCAAGTGGTGGTTGGGGAGAGAGGGCGAGCAAGGGTCATGGGTGGGGAGAGAGGGAACAAGGGTGGGTGGGGAGAGAGGGGAGCAAGCGGGTGGGTGGGGCGAGAGAGGGCGAACAAGGGCGCTGGGTGGGAGGAGAGGCGGAGCAAGGGCGTGGGTGGGAGAGCAGCGGGTGGGTGGGGCAGAGACGGGCAGCAAGGGATGGGTGGGGAGAGACGGAGCAAGGCCCGTGGGTGGGGAGAGAGGGGAGCAAGGGCTATGGGTGGGGAGAGAGGGGGCAAGGGCGTGGGTGCGGAGAGAGGCGGAGCAAAGGGCTTTTGTGGTGGGAGAGAGGGGAGCAATTCGGTGGTTGGGCGAGAGGAGGGAGAGAATAGGCGATGTGGGTGGCGGAGAGAGGGGAGCAAGCGGATGGTGGGGAAAGAAGGGAACAAGGGCGTGGTGTGGCGAGATGAGGGCGGAGCGAGGCGTATATCCAGTCGTGGGAGAGAAGGGGAGGCAAGGGATGTTTGGGAGGAGAGAGCGGCTGAGAAAGGGTCATGCGGTGCAGGAGAGAGGGGTGAACAGGGGTGGGTTGGCAGAGAGGCGGACAAGCGGGTGCGGTGGGATGAGAGAGGGAACAAGGGGTGGGTGGGCGAGAGCAGGCGGTGGTTGGGAGAGAGGGGGAGAAAGGGATGGGTGCGGGAGATGAGGGAACAAGGGGTGCGGTGGTCGGAGAGAGCGGGAACAAGGCTGTGGGTGGGATGAGAGGGCCGAGCAAATGGTATGGGTGAGGGGAGAAGAGCAGGGGAACAAGGCGATGCGGTGGGGAGAGAGCTGGGAGCAAGGGAGTGCGGTGGGCGAGAGGATGAGAGCTCAGGAGCGGCCATAGAGCGAGAATTAAAGAGGAGGACCTGCGGACAGAAAGAGAGCAGACGGCGAGGAAAGAGAGAGGGGAAGTCAACTATAATTTGTTATATCACGCGACATCATGAGTTAGCCTAGGATGCTTTTTTATCGTTGCCCTTGCAGTTATCTCTCGTCTACCAGGGTGATTCCGTAACGTGACGAAGCTCTACGTGGAAGTGTTGTTTATCTGTGAGCAGTTCATTACCGCCGGCCTGCATCGTTGCCTTGCAGCTATCCTCGTCTACAGGGTGTTCCGTAACGTGATGAAGCTCTACGGTCTACGTGAAGGTTGTTTATCTGTGAGCAGTTATTACCGCGGCTGCATCGTTGCCTTGCAGCTATCCTCGTCTACAGGGTGTTCCGTAATGTGAGAAGCTTACGGAAGGTTGTTTACCTGTGAGCAGTTATTTACCGCGGCTGCAATCGTTGCTTGCCAGCCTATCTCTGTCTACAGGCGTGTTCGGTCCGTAACGTTGACGCGAAGCCTCTACGTGAAGCGTTGTTTATCTGTGGAGCACGTTTATTACCGCAGGCTTGCATCGTTGCCTTGGCCAGCTTATGTCCTCGCTACAGGCTGTTCCGTAACGTGATCAAGCTCTAGGTCTATGTGCAAGGTTGTTTAATCTCGTGAGCATTATTAACCGCCGGCTTGCATCGTTGCCTTGCAGCCTATCCCGCTACAGGGTGTTCCCGTAATGTGAAGAAGCCTCTACGGCGAAGTTGTTTACCTGCCTGAGCAGTTATTTTACCGCGCTGCATCGTTGCCCTTGCAGCCTATCCTCGTCTACAGGCTGGTGCTTCCGCTAACGTTTGACGAAGCTCTACAGCTGAAGGTTGTTTCATCTGTGAGCCAGTTATTACCGCGGCTGCATCGTGCCTTGCAGTTATCCTCGTCTACAGGGTGTTCCATAACGTGATGAAGCTCTACGTGAAGGTTGTTTATCTGTGAGCAGTTATTACCGCGGCTGCATCGTTGCCTTGCAGCTATCCTCGTCTACAGGGTGTTCCGTAACGTGACGAAGCTCTACGTGAAGGTTGTTTATCTGTGAGCAGTTATTACCGCGGCTGCATCGTTGCCTTGCAGCTATCCTCGTCTACAGGGTGTTCCGTAATGTGAAGAAGCTCTACGTGAAGCTGCTGCACGCGTCCCTGCATTTCCTCGCCATCATCTTCGTCATCGTGGCGCTGAAGGCCGTGTTCGACTCTCACAACCTCGCCAAGCCGACGCCGCATCCGAACCTGTACAGCCTGCACAGCTGGCTCGGTCTCAGCGTCGTGCTGCTGTTCGGACTGCAGGTAAGAAAGTTGACTCGTCTCCGTCTGAGCGAGAGAGAACAATGCGCTGCTCGCATGTTGCTAGCGGCGCTTAACGCTATGAGTATAAACAAGCATGATGGACGTATCTGTTTGAGTGAGATAACCATGTCTAAGGCTTTCATTTTGTTGTTGGTTCAATGATGCTAATGCTAGATCAGTTTGTGTTTTTCACGTTGGCACGCCGCAATGTTGACTTTGAGACACGTTGTTAGTAAGCAGCACCTTTAGAATGCCCTTATCGCAACATTTATTGGGTAGAGCTACCCCTCGTTCAGTCCACCTAGGTCTCCATTTAACGTCGCAATCGAAACCTGCTTCTCGACGCCACGCCCGCGAAAGAATGTTGTGGCAAGGTTCTGCCTGTCACTATGATTCGGGATTTTACCAATTTACATGTCGAGTGAAAATCTTTTTGAAACATTAATATTTCTGTGCAATTACGTTTCATAATTTTCTCGGTAAATAATTTGCCTGCAGGATTTCCAACAGATTGGTGAAGTAGTTACACTTTTACATCACAAGTTTTAATGGTTGGAGAACAGTATATGTTTAACGTCGTTCCCTTCCAGACGTAGTACAAGGCGGTGGAATGCCCTTGAACATCGCTGACAGATCTTGTGATTGCAGTATGTTTCAGGCTTTGTGAGCTTCTTATTTCCAAAGCTGAGTCTGGCATTACGTCAGTGGTACATGCCCACACACGTGTTCTTCGGCATCGCAATCTTCCTCGGGGCCATAGCTACAGCACTGATGGGACTCACCGAGAAGCTGCTATTCCTTAGGTGATTACGCCTGTTCTCTTATTCCTTCAACTAGATTCATAGTTTATAGACGTTCATGTGGAATCTCCATCATTCTTGGAAATCGCATCATTTGCAAATAATGAGTAAAATAATTATTACAAAAATAATAGTGATAATTAACATAATAATTAGTTAATTATATAGATAATAATTCCTGATTGTTCCAGTAATTATTATTGCTTGTCGCCATATCTTAGTATTGGCTGGTTAAGTTTCCTCAACTTAATATGTGGTTCACTGTTCATGTAATTTTCATCATACTATAGGCAACTCTGTCTTTTATAAAGGAGAGCCTGTAATGCATAGCCTGCACTAAAAAATCTTACACTTAGTACTGTTTGTGATCGCTCAGGGGTGACATGAGCACGTTCCGCACTGCCGAGGGCACGTTCATCAACATCCTTGGTCTGCTGCTGGTTGCCTTTGCTGGCCTCGTCATCTATCTGGTCATCAACCCAAAATACAAGCGTCAACCTCTTCCCGAAGAGGAGATGATTCAACTGAGTCAGGATTAAGTATGAAGCACACGTCTACGAACGCGTATGTGTGGGTGTGTGTATGTATGTGTGACCTCAGAGGCCAGGTGAACAAAGATGTTGTCTGTTACAATAATGGTTGCTCCGTGATGTTGACTGTCGAAACTAGACATTGGATAAACTATGAGTTGATACTATATGCAGTGACTGCCATTTAGAAAGAAGCAAAATCTCACATAAGTCAGCACATTATTTTAAGAATCGTTTTAATCCATTTCTTGTACAGATTCGTGGTCGTTTTCGATCACCTCATGGTTTAAACATGCCCCTGCATGCAAAGTATGGCTCATAGGGTCTATGTCCCCCAGGGTACTGCCGGAACGTACCCTGGGTACGGTCCGGTATACCAGAACGTACCCTGGTAACTATTTGATATGGTTAGGGTTAGGGTTAGGGTTAGGGTTAGGGTTAGGGAGTAGGCGTAGGCGACTCCCTAGACTCGTTAGTGGAGTAGGCGAGGTACGGTCCGGCATATTAGATAGTACCAGGGTACGTTCCGGCAGTACCCTGGGGGACATAGCCCCTCTCAGCCACAGTATGCTGTAGAATTAGACCAGGCAACTCAGAAGTTTTCAACTCAGATAGTATTATGATCACGTTTTGACGAGCCATTCAAAATGGTTCTTCAGTACTCTGCATTATAGTTTTAATATTCTAGATGGATATTTGGTTGATGTCACTCGTTTTATGTTATGGCACTCACTGCTTCAGTATCAAACATGATAACGAGTGTACTTAATTATATATTAATAGCTGTTCCCAAAGTATTCGTTTAGTTATTATATTGAAAATTGATATTTGGAAAAATAGATATATATATAGTGTTGTAGTTTTCTTGCACTATATTCAATTCCTTTTTTTATTGCGTAATGAAGATGAGTTGGATTGATTTTTGAAGTAGGATATTTTGTTAATTATGTCTACTCATTACTTGGATTAGTGATGTAAATTTATGCCACAATAAAATGTGAGGAATCTGGGGCTCATTGCCAGAATCAAAATTGATCTTAACATTAGTTTTAACATTGACTTTTTCTCATGGACCATTGACAGAATTGTGGTAATATTTAGGGTTTCTCATATGGAGTATATGGAGGTCTAGTCTTCAGGAAAAAGTGTTAAGATTACTATTATGAGTAGTTTTATCTGGCAACAGTGCCTGTTCCTAACTCTAACCAAATTTGGTACATTTACAAAATTACTTTACTTCTTGATTGATGGGAAATATATTTATGATTGTTAATGCTTACAAATTATATGATAAACGTATTTTGTGTGAAATTTGTGGAATCGGTATAATGTTCTACGGCGTTTACTTAAATAAAAAATATGTCACTACTAAAAATGTATAAATTGCAAACCATGAAAATTGGGCCATTTTCAAAGTTCAACTATCTATAAAACCTACAATGGGATACCCATAACATCTGCCAAATTTATGCCTAATATAATATATAATATAATATGCCTAATGTATCAGTTATGGTTTTAGTGAATTTGAGTTTCAGAAATAGACCAATTTTCAACACTGGAGCTGTGCCTTTTAGTAGTGATATATTTTTTCATACATGTATTTATTATGGCCTGTTGTATAAAGTCTATATATTTTGTTCAGAAAATTCTTGTATTGATGAAATCTGATCCCTGTAAATACGAGTTTATTTTTCGAATTTGTGAGTTTGTGATGATCTTAGCTGGAAAGCATAGAAAACATTACGATTCCACATAGATGCATCAGTCATGTGATTGCAGTTGTTAACGTATCTCAGTGGAAGAAAAACATGCTATGCAAATTCCTCTACTTAGAGCACTAATCACTTTAGAGCACACCGTTTAATCACAAATTAGAGCACACAGAAGCATCCACATCATACTGACTTGCACGACAGTTTGTGTAGTTTACTTAGTTGTAGACAAGTGTTTTTTTTGTGAAGAAGGGCAAGTAAAGAAACTTTCCTGTTTAAGCTTACTTTACGTGTCCACAATTTACGGTTACCGTATGTTCAGGTCGTTTTATTTGTCTTTACCGTTTAAATAATTGTACAATGTGCATGGCATATGTGTCAGTTTTGTTGAGCAGTTGTTGTTTTGCATGTTAAGAAACGTGTTATCATTATACCTCTACTTATACGTAATGTGTGTGATGTATAAAATTATAAATTATTCCAAAATGGATCGTTTGGGTTAGTCCCATTGTCGTCACGCAAGGGGCACACGTTAATATGCTCTATATTGTTGTAAAGCTATGAGAGGAAACATGCAAGACTGCAAAATTTATGTTTGGCAAATTATGAGAGTTGTGAGTGGTAGCTAGTATACTGCTGACATCTGCTAAATTCTTAGCCATGCAGCTAGAAATTGTTGTTTGTGTTTGTATTGTAAAGTTAATAAAACTGGTCTCACATTATTAATAATTATGGTGTCATTGCTATTCACTGTTAAGAGTTGGCCAAAACAAACAGATGTATACAATCAGTACATTTAGTACACATAGATGTATACATTTGCCCATCGATTTTTGGTGCACTACATGACATACGATTGTATAATCATGCAGTTCCACATTTCTCAATAATGATGACATTTTCAATTAGGTATATACAACAATGTAAGTAATTTATTTAACATACTTATGAATATATAAATAATATACAGAAAAGTTAAAGCAACTGCATCATTCCAGTGTACAGCATATAGCAGCATGAATATATATATATATATACATACATCCATATATACTAGCATACATATTCTCATGCTAGCATGCAGTGCCAACTATTTCTTCTGTTACTACATCTATCTTTTCTGCCTAGGATTTCGGATTCACTGATTCACGAATTCCTGACCGTTTGAATGCAAGATTCGAGGACACGACTAAATTGGAAGTAAACGTTAACAAAACGTTAACCTGAGCATTTTATTTATGAATCGTGAGCTCTAACCAAATTGCGTAAATATGCTCTCTAACGTTCATTGGCGCGATCCAGCAGCTTCAAAAGTTATTGGTTCGCTCTGCTTCACGAAATAATAGTGTAACACTCAGTCGTCGATAACACACACAAGGAATGCCAGTAAAACTATCAAAATATTTTGATGTGCGACAACCGTGGCTAATGTTGAAGCATTAGTCGTTTCTCTGCTATGCAAACAAGTGAGGTCCACTGAAATCATTCAGGTTTGCAACTGAACTCAATGGCCCTCTCTTTTCAAGAATATTGCAAGGTTTGTCGCAAAATCTTGAATATCTGCATTTGCATGTCCCAGCACTAAGTCGCAAGCTATTATATAACTATCTGTATGGTTAAGAAGTTATGATTATACTATTAAAACCAAATCGTTTCATTTTTCGAATCAGAATGTAGCCTGTATTGCCCATATGTAGGTTCCCCGCTCTAACTTTGCCTGCAAGTTATGCTGAGAGGGTCTATGTCCCCCAGGGGCGTACCCTGGTACTATCTAATATGCCGGACTGTACCTCGCCTACTCCACTAACGAGTCTAGGGATCGCCTACATCTACTCCCTAACCCTAACCATATCAAATAGTGACCAGGGTACGTTCCGGCAGTACCCTGGGGGACATAGACCCTATGAGCGCCAGTTATGTGCCTCTTCTGCCCATTACTTCCTCCTGTTTCCACCACCCAGGATCATTGCGATCCGAATGAATATGTTCAACGTGTCCAGATAGATTCCAATCGACCTGCAACGAATGGGAAAGCTAAGGTGAAATAATTTACCTACAAAAGTAAATCTACCTGTGAGTGGACATCACACCAAAAAGCTCAGATGCATCATCATAGCATCATAACAAATGATAGAAGCAAGTAATGGCCAAACATTAAAAAAGTAAAGGATGAAGTGCTATGTAGTGCGTGAGATACTACATCATACATGACATTTTATACGGCATGTGAAATCTGTGGTTAAATGTGTGACCTCGGTATGGATCACCGGCAATGGTTTCTGACCATGGTGAGCAATCGTCTCTATGTAATGCCAACAGTACTTTTTCCCTAACTGCCCATCTCTCTGTGTCACCTCATCTAAACACACTCTTCGCAGCAACAGAATGAACGGACGTGTACTGTGAGCACGCAACTTGCACTATGGAGGGAGTGTGCTACATGATGTTTTATACTGTGTTTACAATTTGTGTTACTACTATAGAATCAGGAGTCTATCAATAGATAGATAGATAGACTCCTGATAGAATGCACTCTAATTGATGCACACAAGTATTTCAACTATAAAGTATCATCACAGTACTAACACAGGAACGTTGATCCATTTAACCACAGCACTCTGGGATATATATAAGGTGCCATCTACTGGTGCTAAAGCCCCCGTCACACTAGAGCTATGCTCATCACGATCGCCCCACGCTCAAAAAATTTGGCCGAACGTGGTGAGAGCCAATTGGGCCCCAGCGCCGATACTACGATCTAAGTGCGTCTTTACCCTGATCTCATTGCGCCCAACAAGCTTTCACCACGCTCAACACCACGCCCGCATCACACTTGCACTGCGCCCACTGCGTCTTTATTGCGACCAATCCGATCGCATTGCGTTCAAACGACGCTTTCACTGCGCCTAAGCAACGCTCACCGCGCCTCAACTGCGCACCAGTCACGTTCTTAGTGCGACTTATTCACGCTCTAGTCAGGAGCCGACTGCGCTGGCAACGGCAATATAAATAGAGTTGTCTTCTATTTCTCCTCCTTAGCATGATGAGGGCTTGGCAATCAAGTAATTCGAGTTGTCCTTCTACGAAAAACATGGCATGGAGTAGTGTTGCCTCATCCATAGTGGACACTGAACTGGTGGCCAGGGTAGCACCCCAATTTATACCCCAAGTTCGTAGGACGTGATCTGAGCGTGGTATTGACGCAACTAACATGTAATGCCAACGCCACAACGTCGTGGCCTGAGCGTGTTGGGCGTAGTACAATCGTAGTACGAACGGGTCGAGCTTTCTAGAGACGCACCATGGTCATAGCGAAAGCGTGGTCAGGTCGCAGAGACATCTCCACGGATGCCGCCACATGTATTCACCTGGAACTAACAAGTGGCGCCACCTACAGTCGACGGTGGTGAGCAGGCAGTGGCACCTAGTCAACGGTGGTAAACTGGTGGCGCCACCTACAGTCGACGGTGGTGAGCAAGCAGTGGCACCTAGTCAACGGTGGTAAACTGGTGGCGCCACCTACAGTCGACGGTGGTGAGCAAGCAGTGGCACCTAGTCAACGGTGGTAAACTGGTGGCGCCACCTACAGTCGACGGTGGTGAGCAAGCAGTGGCACCTAGTCAACGGTGG